TAGCGTCACGCTGTTGCCGATTTCCCGGCGTCAGAGGACTCAGGCCGCCGAGAAGGCGCACGTCGCTCGGCGACGACATCCCGCTGCGACCACCACCAGTTTGGTTTTGCCGTTTAGCGTGCGGGTTTCCGTGCCACAGCAATGCCTGACTGACCCGCTACCGCACGGCACGCCACGGGCATCTGCCGGACATTGTGAATACCGGTCGACTGGAACTGTGCGGAGAGGCAGGTCTGCATTTACTCCGCTGTCCGGCTCCCACTTTGGGTGCCGGGGCTCTCGTTCACATCTTTAATCATTGGGCCGACGTGCTCTGCGATGGTGGCTGGCGTGTGGGTCTTTGTATTTACTTGAGAAGGCACGAGGAATAGTAACAATATATACATATAAACAGCGCTGAATAGATATTAGCATCGACAACTATATACCTATCTGTATATGCATGTACAGTTAATAGAATAGCAATCAATAAACCAAGAAACCAGGCAATCTGTCGAATTTTAGGGGAAGGAAGGGAGATATGCACATCTATACACATCATCAGTAAATAAATTATCGCTTTTGTAGTCATACCCATATCGTTATGCCTATTCATTGATCGTTGCTTATTTTCATATCTATATTGCTTCATACATTTTTTCCATCGTTTTTTTTTTATTTGTGGCATTTTGCCTCCGTTGTTTTATGTATTCTTCTCCCGTGAGTTCATGCTTACGTTTTTAGAGCGCATAGGCATTCCGTCCCGCGGTCAAGGTTTCATATGCACTGAAGCACCCCATCGGACAAAAGTCGCAAGGGGCTTGCGAAGCCCATCTCAGTTGAATGATGGTTGCTATCTTGTTTGATCTCCTGAGGAGCCGCGAGGTGTGATTGCGTTGCCCCTGCCACCCAACACAATGACAACTTTCAGCGAGCACTTTGCAGTCCCATTGTGCAGTTATTATTGAGGTGCACTCCACACCCGCATTTTGGGAGTGAACGCACGGTGTACCCGTAGAGGATGCTGAGGGCGGCGTCAGCGAGGCATGGGATAACATGTGCTCCGGAACAAGTGTGTGGCGTTGGCCAGAGGAGGCATTGTGTCAGCGACATCATTGATTGATGGCCATTGATTTTGGGGCTTCGGTATTCGGAGCCTTAAGGACTGGAACGCTGCTGGCTGACCAGGTGCTACTCGCCATCCGATCCCTCCTGGATGTGGCTTAAGAGACGGTGCGGGCGCGTGCGGCGGGGGAAAAGAAAGTAGGACATTCTGTGGACATGCACGTGGACGCGTCAGAGCGTCACGATATCCCTCAACAAGTGTGGAGCCCCCAGCTTGGTGCGTTGATCGTCCTGATTAAACTGCCTGGGGTGGAGGTGAGTGCGCTGACTTCCGTTTCACCTAATTTTCCTTCAGCTGACAGGCTGCGCAGCTGACGTGGAGGGACACCATGCGCACCTGTTTCCGGCGTGTGCGATGCCGTTTCCCACAAATGAGGGCGATTTCTCTGATGATGTGCTCCGTCGTCCTCACTTGATTCCTTGACGAAACGACGCAACGCGGGGTTGGTGCTGAGCGACGAAAGCCTTCCGTCTCGGTTGGAACCAAAACGGAGAGCCCATGAGGAGACATGCTGCTCGCGACCGGTTGATGCGTGGCCTGTGAGGAGTCTGTTTGCCACCGTGGAGCATCTAATTTGCCTGATTGCAGCGCCCTCCACAAATTGCACAGTTCTTGTGCTCCTGAGTAGTGCCGATAAGGGCGGATTGCATGGTGGTTTTTCATTGCTGGAAGGCTCTGTAAGGAGGAAAATACTGTTCTTTCTTCTTCATGGAGGAGACGAATCCGTTCTTTGATTGAAGTACGAATGCCTTGTTGCAGCTCTTGTTGGCCGCTGGTGGCCTTGGTGTTTATTCCAATCAATGGCTCTCACTGGCGATTCCACGGCCGAATATCGACGGATGTCGTCATTTTTGGTCCACGTTGCTTGGCCCAACAATAAATTATTTGTGCAGCTGGACAAGGAATTTCCAGTGGGCGTGGACCATGTTTTGCAGAATATGCCCACAACGGCTACTGACCGTGCTGGTGGTTGTTGCGTCCTGTATGACTCTGACAACGTTCTTGCGGATTTCACTATGTTGCGTGCAAATGATGTTACATCTGTGCTTCGTCGTGTGGCAGAGGCCTGAACCAACGGGGGGTAGAGTGTTGTGATGAATTCGAGCACAGACAACCCTCGTGTTGCTCATCGTTGTGCTCGTTTTCACTACGGTCCTCGACGTGGGGAACATTTTATTATTGTGTGCGGTATAAAGATCACTTATCCGGTGGCATATTGCAGTGTGGCGGTATTTGGTCAAAGGACCCTGTGGAATAGTTTGTGAGGACGAGGGATGATGGCAGGACTGTCATGCCCGCACAGACGGAGACGAGAATGGGATTTTTGATGTGCCCTGCAACACTGCGCTCGATTGCGCCATTGGATACATGCAGAGCAGGTGGCTCTCTGGTGTCTGTTGGCTTCACGGCAAACCCGCTGGCCCCTTCTGAAGGGCATTCAAGAGCATTCGTTCTCTGAGAGAGTTTCTGCTGTGTGGTCCGCACACTGCAGTGCCCGCTCCATTGGGCTTTTTCTTCGGTGAGAGGATGGTCTGTTGCACTTCTTGGGCTTCTGTGGTGAGGGGAGGGTCGCGGGGCGACATGCCCACCGTTTCGGTGTTGGCGCACCGCGTACTTGTGGCCGCGTTACGCAGGAGGCACAATCATCTGTAGCAGGATGAAAGCGACGTGTTCTTGACCCTTGCCAGCAATGCACGGTCTTCCTGTTATGTTGTTCGGGTGTTTCTGGAGGACAACGAGCTTGCAAATGGTTACGAGGGATGTGTGGCTGCAGAGTTTGAGTACCGCTTTGGTTTTTTCTGACGGGCTGCGTCGAGGAATTACAGGCGCTTGCAGATGTTGTTGCCGGTGTGAGGGCAGGTGTTTCAGCCACCCGAAGCGTGGCTGTTGGGAAGACGAGTTTCACTCTTGCAGCTGAGGCAGGCATCGACGAGGCGAATGTGCGGGCCCACCACCCTACTTTCTGTACTGTTTTGCCGCGACGACTGGATCTGATTGCCAGCCACGTTGGGCCATCGCCATGTGGCCGCAACGTTGCCTCGAAGGG